TATCAGATGTAGCAAATGCTAGAATTCTCTGCCTTTTCATTAAATAACATTTGTCTTTTTTGGTGGGTTTCTCATTAAAACTCCTGATTCAATTCATGCTAAAATTCCTGAATCAATTGTTCAATCATGATTCAGTATTGGATACTACATATTTAGCAAACTTAAAAAGAATTTCTTAGAAAATAAAACTTTTCAGGCTTCTAAAGTTATCTAAGAAGATACAGTTGAAATTTATCCTGGAGATGGAAAGTATCCTTTGGAGAGCTGAAAATGCATAAATTTGTTTAAAATTTCTCTATTATCTGATTTGGGATTTATAGGGAGAGTTTATAAGGTAGCATTCTCTAAACAGTGAATGTCAAAGTGAGTACTCTTTGTTTCTGATCTTTTTTAAAAATATAAAACATAGTTTTCCTTTTGAAGTATAAGACCTAGCACTTCATCTTTTCACTTATTTTAGTTACTTAGTCACCTAATTTCCTCTCAGATCAGCCATTTATTATCTGTGTGAAACTTTTTCAAGTTATCTATCCTTGTGCCTCAGTTTCTTCACCCATAAAAAGAACACTATCTCGTAGTTCTGGTTTGAGAGTCGAGGAGTGCTGTAGTGTTTAGAAAGGTACAGTATTTACTTGTGTTTACTAAGAATCTACTACATACCAAGAGATATCATACCCAGTATGGAGTGACAACAGCTACGAACAGTCGACCATTATTAGACAAAGTCGGGGTGATGAGCACCTCAGGGCAAACAGAGGAGAAGAGTATACAGAATAATAAAGGAGGTGTTAATTTCATACAAGGAAGTCAGAACAACCTTTAATGAAGATACTTTTAACACAACTCTAAAGAACATGAGAGGAAGGGGGGGGCGGTAAATGCCAGGAGAAATGAGAACCTCAGCCAAAGGGACAATAAAGCACCAAGATGCTGATGCTGGTCAGGAATGTGAAGCAGGAAAGAGGGCAGGATGGATGGATCAGAGAGAATAAGGCAGTGAGTGGTGGAAGAGAAAATCAGAGAGGCTGATGGTGGGGGGAGAAAGGAGCACAGACAAAGAGGACCCTGCTGGCCAAGTGAGAGACTGTACTTTTATTCTGGTGAGGTGGGAAGTTGCTGGAAAGCTTTGACAGAGCAGTGACACAAGCAGAAGGAAACACATAGGAGTTTGCTAGATTAGTGGAGACCACAGGTGATGGGGGCCTGGACAGGTGGCAGGGAAACAACTAGTTCAACCATTCGAATACACCTCTCCAGTGTGCATTTGAATTTCCCTTTAATTGGTATTTATTGACACCAACTAAGTAAGGCACTGGAGTGGGCCACTTCACACATGTTATCTCTTACTCCAAAGCTACAAGCCTCTAGAAAAAATGTTATGAGATTATGATATTAAAGAGCCAAGAGATTTCTGAAATCATCAATTGTAACCAAATGCTTTTAAGATGCAGAATTAGAGCTCCAGAGAGATTAACTGATTTTACCCAAGATTATCCAGCAACTTAGAGGAAGAAAGGGACTCAGTTTTCTTTACTTAACAAGAGGGTACATTCAAAATCAGTATTTCTATGTACTTAAAAAGATAACTTATATTGCCTGTGTTTAAAACATTTCTCTTAATCCTTTCTGATTTAAAAATAAGGGCAGAATATATTCTTCCAAACATACCCATATTGGGTTAATATTTATGTGAAGCATTTCTAAAATGAGTACTTTTGAAATTCCTAAAATGAGTATTTTTGAAGACTCTAAAATTACTCTTCTTTAGGAAGTCTATTACCTTAGTCAGTTGACAGGTAGTTCTACCAATTTATCACTGATAGAAAGCCACCGACTTTTTGTAAAAACTTTAGTATGCCAACCTCTTACCCAAGTTACTCCTGCCAATGAGAAACAGTATTTGTCAGATTCAGGAATGACCCTAGTCTGCTTTGTAATTATGAGTGGTTATAACTATTTAATGTGCTGTCTGTTCTAAAGGGAAGGAAAACAGTGTAGATATATTTGGGGTTGCAGAAAGGATATAGACTGTGAAGGATGTTTGATTTTAAAGGTAAGTTGGTAACCTCCTATGAGATGTTTTTACTACTAAATCGTTAATTTTAGAAAACACAAAGAAATTAGGAAATAATTCTGGCTGAAGATATAGAAGAACATAATAAGAATTTTCTGATTTGTGTCCTTTCTAGGTTTAGGTAATCCCAATGAAACACTCACCTTGCCCTCCCGCAAACCTGGGTCTGTATCTGTGTTCTGATACTCTACCTCACAACAAGGTAAGCCTCCCTCTAGCCTCTAATGCAGGTCAGATAATAGGGTATGGGGTCTCTTTCCCTCTTTCTTTTGTCTTGGAGAATTTGGAAGAGATGCTTAGGCCATGAGGAGTTGAAACATACTCCTGTCTCGGTAAGAACATTTTATAAACTGATGGGTGGAGGCCAAGCTTGCTCCTGAGATGGGCCATGAAGCCTCTTCTATGGTGGTGTGAGAAAGGCCATTTCCCAACCATCTTGTTCATTCCACACACACTAAGACAGAGGAAAATTCAGCCGAGGGCCAATTCTCCCCTAAGAATCCTTTAGTTTAATTATGACCACAGTACATTAAATGTCTGGAGGATGTCCATGTTAGCTCTGCCCCTACTGCTGTTGGTGGTGAAAGGGAGGAAACCCTTTTATTACTGAAAAGACAGGGAAGGATGCTTTTGTGGGTCAAAAACATGGTTGGAAATTCAATTTAATTGAACACCAGGCTACTGTGCTTCTTGTAAATGAACGTCGTTTTGCTGCTAATTTTGTGCTATTTTACCTTTCATTAAAAAAGTAATTCAAGTTAAACTCAGCTGAACAGCAAAAAGCTCTTGATATTTTGAAGCATTTTGGAACAATTACTTTGACGGGAACCCTTGACAGTTAAATGACTCTGTTAAATGAATGTTATAGAAGACACATAATGATTTTTAGTGAAATATTGAATTTAACCACAAATGAGGAAAAACCAGTCATAAGCACTATGGGTGTATTTGAATAATAACATCTTGCTTATGAACCTCAATGGATTCTATAATTTTTAATAATCTTGCAATCGACCAGTTAGCTGGTGGGTATGTTTCCATCTTGGTGCTCTCTATTCATTTTTGGTTTATGCTTTTGTTGTTGTCTTTTAATCTAAGAAGCCAATAAGAAAATTTCAAAACTGGCAATAATTTCTTCTTCCATTAGTATAGTATTTTGCAGTTAGGTAATTAATGAGATGCTATCCCATAATTGAAGATCTCCTCTTCTCTTTTTCTTGTTTGCTGAATGAGATTCTTTTACAAAGTAAGAAATCAGCAAAAGTCAAGAGCAGGCTGTGCCTGAGAACGTGTGAATTCACCGTATGCCAGTATTTCCTGCATCTGTGGAACTCAATATTCTTATTCTTATTTTATGGATCGAATGTGAGATAGTATCAAGGCTTTTACATGTTTTCTCATGACTAACAACTGAAAAATGTACTGAAATAATAAAACTGGTACTGTTCAATTTCCTTTTCAAATTCACTTGCATTATAAGTGAGAGAACCCATATGATGATGAAATCTGACTGATTGTAAAATTCCGTTTTGAGGAGAAGAGGAGCGAGAAATTTCAGTAGATGTAAAACTACCAGGGTGGGGATGTTTGAACTGAGAAATGACTCAGAAAAGCAGGAATGTTCTTTATCTTGTTTGTATGGGGTGAAAAGCTGAGGCTAAGCATACTGAGTGGTATTACTGGCATCTCTGCACACTGGGTGCAGCTGTACTTTCTGATCCTTCCAAGCAAGTGAGGCACAACTTCCCCCAAGTTCTTGCTGCTTCCTGCATTTATCTTCATGTAGTAATTGTCTATTTATACTCTATTTACATGTCTATTCCCCACTAGAAGGTTACACCCTAAAAGGAGACAATGTCTCTTGATCTTGCACCCCCAGCATTTCTGAGCCACCATAAGCTGTTCAATTAATCTACTTACGAACAAATACTCCTTTATCTATTTCAGTTAACACTGAAATTACATGGAAATGGCTAGTCTAAATATTTGATATTGGCCAAAGGTAAGTCCAGGTACACAGCCAGCTACCTAAATGTGTATTACCTACACTTTTGCTGTTCAATGTGTGGTCCATAGGCCAGCAGCATCAGCACCACCTGGGAGCTTTATACCTACGGAATCTCAGGCTCTGCCTCAGACCCAGGTCAGAATATGCATTGCTACAAGAGCCCCAGATGATTCTGTGCACAGTGAAGTTTGAGGAACATTTATCAATAATATATAATAGTCTGTTGCATGAAGAAGTGATGTGTAAATAATGGAGAAGAAACAAGGCCATGGCATTGAGATTAATGCAGAAGTCTGCTGAGGAAGTGGTAGAGCTCTCTCAGGACAGTCACTTAATGTTCACAGGTGAGAAACTCACTCATACCAGTTCCCTGGGAACCCTTACTTGATACTTCTTCACACTTTTTCCTGCTTAAAGACACAGCTGCTCTTAATAATTGTCTCTTCTCCTTGGTGCAAACAGAGTATTTATCGTCAGCATGCTGACATTTGCAGGAGTTTTGGCTTTCTCCATGAAAACTGTGGATGATTGAAAGGATATTGCTGACACCTGAATAAGAAATGCAATGACTCCAAGCTATGTAAATTTAATTATTTGCCTTAATTTTTTTTTCAGGAATCTCTTTTCTTTTCCTGAGCTTTGGAGAAGTCCTGGCCATTTTCATTTAAAAGAAATACAAGTCAGCAGAGGTTCACTGAACAGGCTGACACGCAATTTCATAGGGGAAGAGGCGCTGTGTCTTTAATCTAATTTGTGCTCTCAATTCCCTGCTAACGTATCTAGGGATCATGATGTATGCATTTACAAGGAGACATCTGTAATGCAGAGTCCAGCTCTGCAATTCTCTGCAACATGGGTAAAAAATTAGTCTGGATTCTTGCAGCCACCCTACAACATGATAAATCTCTATATACTCACAGATGTAGAAATATTCTCGGCCTGGCCTGAATTCAAATCCTAGAGAAAAGGGAGTGAAGAGCTGGAATTTTTCAGAGAACTTCAGTGGTCCATTTGGAGAGTGAGGCCGGTTACATTCCCATCTCTTGAAGCCTTTGGAAGTGTGGTCGCAGGCACTGTACCCATCAAAGTTGACCATGTAGAGGACATAGCGCTCAGTCTTATCTTCTGGGACGGAGTCCTCATAGTGAGGGCAGAAAACATCCAGGTAGTCATTAATACAGACATCAATGTGGTAGTCACCCCTCTGGAATCTGTTGGAAGAAGAAGAAAATGAAGAAATAATTCATGGTGGAAGGGGTTTCTGGTGTAAATTAGTGGTTGCACTCTTTAATAATTCTAGAACTAAAGGATTTAGTCTAATAAGCTCTTAATGAACACTATTATGATTTTGGAAATGGTTTGAAATATTGCAGTTCTAAATCCAAGCAACAATAAGCCATTTACAGAGGAATTCCACTAAGTTTCTTTCAAAATACCCTAAAAAAGAAGTGCCTCACTTTTATTCTAATTATTACATTAAACATCATTCTTTCAAAAATGAATTTTGATTTGTTGTTCTCCATTTATTCTTAAAATCATACACATTGAAGAAAAGTTTTCATACATTTAAGATAGTTTCACAATAAATATTTCTGAATATATAAACAAGCAAATTAAAGAACAATAAATTACTGAATTGTTTCAATTATAAATGAGGTCATTTCGATTCCCTATGCAAATGTAGAGAATTAGTGCTATTAAACTGCTAGAATTAGAATCATAAAATGTAAAAGTTAAAAAATTCCTGAAGCAATATCTTCATTTTAGAGGAAAATAAAAACATAAGGCATAAACATGAAGCAGAGAATATTTGAGTTAGACCTACAGAATGAAAACTCTGGATCCTAGTTCARTATTCTTAGTTCTGCTTAGGTCACCAACTCATTTTATCTCATCACTCTTTTGATGCCATGTTCTTTTCCATTATTAAGAAAATTGAAACCATCTACATCAAATGACTTTTCCCCTGTTTCTTTCGATTTTATAAGTCACATTCTAGGGTTGGACTTATAAGCTGTGAAAGTCACAGGCCAGGTGACAATAACAAAACCATGGCAAATTCATCCTAAAACACTCAAAATGCATGTGCACACATACATACACACACCATAAGTGTTGAAAATACCACATTTTTTTGCTTTAATTCTTACAAATATTTGCTTATTTAATATCTTTCCCTATAAGTTAAAAATATTTTACAGGACCCAGTGATGTATAAAACAGGAATCGTGATGGACACAACTTTCTCAGTCTGAAATTGTGGTGAAAAAGCCTATTAGACTCCTTTGTTTTTAGCAAGTGAGGAAATTCTTCCCTGAGCCCTTGGAAAGGTTCATCATAAAACGCTGTTACTGCTGAAATATGACACTCATAAAGCCATATAATCTTCAAGTCGGACAGTCTCAGCATGAACACTTTCCAATGATGGTGAGCTTCTGTATTCCATTTTTGGACATCTCTAAATGTTAGAAAGTCTCTTCTTATATTGAGCATAAATCTGCTTCTGTGTAATTTCTACCCAGTGATCCTACTTCTGCTGCCTGGAATTACAGCGAACAAATCTAATTCCTCTTCCACAAGGTAGTCCATAAAACATTTGGAGATGTCAGCTATGTCTCTCTATATCCTCGTTTCACCAGACACGAAAATCCTGATTCCTTTGGTTATCTCTGGTGTAGTTCCCAAACTCCTTTCTAGTTTGTTGACCCTCTCAGGCCCTCCAGTTTCCCAATGTGTTCTCTTAAAATGTAGGACCTAAACACAACAAGGCCCTCTGAGCGCTTGGGACCAATGTTCACCTCAGTAGAAATACACCACTCTTGTTCTGGATGCTAAATATTTACCACAAAGCTGCAATTCCCTTCCGAGAGACACTGTTGTGAAATAATGGAGGCACCACTCATTTTGAGTGAGTCGACATAGAATTAAGGACCGGATCTGCTGTTGGTTGAATGGAAGAGTCATACATCATCCTGAGCCTCAGTTTCCTTATAGATAAGTTAGATAACAATGAGAAGGTTCTTGCCAGCCTCGCATGGCTGCTTCAAGTCACAGCCCAGAAAACTAATAAAAAGCAAATGTGTGTTGATTGATAACATGAGAAATAAGGAAAGATTATCAGGATCTTCACTTTTCAGTTAGAGGATTCCAAAACAACTATATATATATATATATAAAACTAAAATACTCAAGTATTTATTTCTTTATATTTACAGTGATCATGGGTTCACTTTTTCTTTATTACTAATAGACAATGAATGATTTGTCAAGATGCAAGGGAAGACTGTGTTGCCTTTAAAAGATTTTTGAACATCAAGGTAACATCACTGCCAAAGTACAAAGAAAAGACACTGCAATGTTCAGATGAAAGGGTGCTGGGATGTGAATCATCAGCACTCAGAGTAGCCTGGCAGTTTTGGAGGACAGCCAGACGAGAACGACAGCAGAAGGCAATGCCCAGATGCACTTTATATTATTATATTATTATTACAGATTTTAAAGACATTCAAGGGGGAAGTTTTTTTTCTTTCCCCAAGTGTCACTCATTTTAGCTTCGACTAGCATTTGGCACTGCTCAAAAGTGAAAATAAAAATTAAAACTGCCATTACCCAGACGCTTTCTGTTATTCTTTTATTCTATAATTTCTTTAGTCTATAATTCCTTTATTCCACAAGTTAAAAACATTGGCACTGTTTTTTTTTTTGACAACTCAATTTTAACTCCTTATTCCAACTTTTATCACTATCAATGTTGCTAAAATTTTTATAAAGCAAACTGTGGGACCGAAGGGCCACTCTAGGTTGGATTGACCAGTAATCCCTTCCGGTGACATTTTACTTTGTGTGAAAGGTTAACTAAATTACTGTGGTGTTATTTTAGACCTGTAATTCACCCTAGCGATTATTATTTCTGACCCTCTATCCAACGACAAAGAAACGATGATGATTTATCATGGAATCAATTTACATTTCTGTTTCAGATCTTTAATTTGCATAAATTAGTTTACTAATGCAAATTTCAAAGAATGGACAATAAAGGTCTAAAAACAATGACAAGCTGGAGCTCATAAAAGGCATCTGTACAACATACTTAAGTATAATCCAAAGACAAGTTTGGGATTAGATATTCTAATACTATAACAAATGGCCTTCTTCAGGTACAAAGTGGTGCTGCACCATTCTTTCCTGACCTTCTTTGAAGGGCATAGAAGCATGACTAACATTACTGAGTGCTTATTATGTTACATTCTTTATTTCAATTTAATCTTTACCACTGTCCCACCGAAAACACACTATTACTACATTTATTTAAAGATGAGGAAACTGAGATCAAGAGGTCAATGTTACACAACTAGCAAAATAGTGGAGGCAGAATACAGACCAAAGCAGTCTGACCTCAGAAATAAAGCTCCTGTCTATTCCATTTGGTGAAAGATTAAACTCTAATGTCAAGTYCTGAGGTCTACTCTGTATTCCTCCAAAGGGACAATTCTCATTCTCAGTGAGGTTTTAGTTCTGTTTACAGATTCAACAAATATTTGCTGTATCCAGGATCTATATGTGCTTTACATATGTTATCCAAAATCCTCAAAACAACCCTAATGGGTTATTATCCTTAGTCTCATTTTACCAGTGATAAAATGTCATTGAGAGAGGATGTTATCTTCTCATTTCAATATTTTTCACAGTGAATAACTCAGAACAAAGTTAAAATCTGAACTCAGTCCTTAGAGATTCTAAGGCATATTCCTAATCACAATGTGCTCCTAACCATGATGGCTCTAGAGATCCACCAGTTGTAGAAATTCCCCTTGTAAGATGGAGCCCTCAAGAGTATATGGGTGCCATCAGGTTACCTTAGGTTTATGCTGATCTTTCAGGACAACCCAGACACAAGGTGAACCAGCCGTACTCTCTTCCCCACCAGGTTGGAGTGCCAAAAGCTACAGGGTGCCCCAACATGTAGAATGAGCTCAGATGACAAAGTTAGCTTCTGAGTCAAGCATTCACACCATTTCAGTCTTTCAGAGAATAAAGTGTTGTTGGGCTCAGCAGCCATTCACATAAAGAGATTTTTTTTTCATCAGGAAACAGCTTTCATAAGCTTTAGCTCATGTTAAAAGACTAAATTCACATCTAGAAAAAAATGATTCTGCATGCCAGTATTTACCAATGCCATGGATAGCACAGACACTGCTATTACACATTTGTAAATCTCTTGGATATTTTCTTGTAAATGTCTACTCTCTCCTCCTTTTCCTTAATTTCATCTATTGTGTCTGTGCTTCTCTACCTCTGTGAGATTGCAGTGTGTGTGTGTGTGTGTGTGTGTGTGTGTGTATATATATATATAATCTAGCTGTTCAGCAATAAGGCAACAATAATTGCAATACACTCTACTAAATTAACACATTGGTTCACAATGTAAAATTTGCACTGTTGCCACACTTAGAAAAGTGACTGTGTTTCAGTCAAACAATTACTGCCCTGACTGTTCTCACAATGCATAAGTCTCAAGAGCCAGGAAACATCTTGCCTGCACAGAATGTAGTCCCTGTTCCTCACTGGACTGCATGGCTGCTCAGGTCAATGGTCCAAACAACATAATATTATATATATTATGTATGGCAAGAATACATTTTACACATTTATCAAAATTTTGCAGTGACTGGTTGAGAATGTCAATGATATTATAAAAGGATCATTTTGCTTAATTAAGAAGAGGAAAATTCAGCCTGGTAACTAGTCTTTTGTAATCATCTTAAATGCCAAAAATGAGTCATGCACTTCACAGTAATTCTTGATCATCCAGAGGCCACCTGAAAGACTAGATAAAAAGCACATTTTAAAAAATATATTTTTAATTTTTTATATATAATAGTGGGATTCATCATTACATATTTGTATATACACATGAGCATAGTTTCATTCCCCAGTATATTTTAGGGACTACTGATGGCAAAAGTAACAATTTAAGCTGGGATTGGAACTGAAAAGTGAATTTGTGTCAGTGTTTGCCTGATGACTTTCCATCATATTGCTAAATACAATTTTGATTATCAATTTAAAGCCACTGTTAATACCTCTCCCTTTAATTAACCTGTATGATGGAGGTGAATCATGACTTGAATGTCAGAATCAAATGAAATAAAGGCAACAAGAAATGACAAATTGTCTTTTCAGTTAGTTATCAACAGTGTGCCCCAACTTC